CATGTGTTTGGAGCACTACTAATACCCTGAGGGGCACTTGTCACTACTGTCCTAAATGAGCCATATGCCAGGTCTACAAACCCCTCATGTGTGTATATATGTTTATACACGCACACATATATCCTTAAATACTATTTCTACGAAGGAACAGACTTTAAAACTTTGTTTCATAGTCTGTTAAACTGCCCTTTTCCATAAGGAAGTAATTTCCTTTTTTTCCCCAGGAATTATTAAAGAGCCTTGGGAATTTTCATCTTTTCTGATAACTTTCACTTTTAATGCTCTCCAAAACATCTCTCCTTCTTAATGGCATCTTTTCCCCAATTATATTGCTTTGGGGTGGCACAGTAGAGACCCAGCTTGAGGGCTTCACAACACGTGGCTGTTTTTATGAGGCAGATGACTTTAGGAGACTAGCTGTGGCTATTCTGCCTCTCAGGACTGTCTCTTCCCCTCTACAGGGGAAAGTTGGGATAAATCTGCCAAGGTCACTAAGAGAGTGGAGAACCAGTTAGAACCAAGCATACCTGACTTCTGTTCACTAGCCTGACCCATTGAGCTACATCAGCTTTCCATTTTTCTTTTCTTTTTTTTTTTAAAACAAAACCACCTCTCCCATAAAGGAAAAAGCTCCGCACATACACACACAAACTTCTCCCCGAAAGCATTTCCATGGCAGTGTGTCATGTCAAACATGAAATTAAAGCTCCAAGGGAGGACTCCGCAGATGGAGAACGCTGTTATCATTACTATGTAAATATCACCAATAACAGCACCTAGAGAATAAGGACCCAAAATGTTAAGGAGCCTTTAAAACTCAGCAGTCTTAATAACTCGTCTGCTATTAAAAGTTTTCCAAACTATGTTATAATAAATAAATAAAGCAGATGGTATGATAAAGCATTAAGATTTAAATCTCATCTTTCTAAAATGCAGCAGGAAAAGCCATGCATCTAAAAACCCATCTGGGCAGGGATGCCACCAAAAGCAGCTTCATCCCTTTTCCGTCCCTGCCCTAAGACTCCCCTAGAGTTTCCCTAATATCAAGGAACGGGAAACGCAAGATTTTCTAGACCCCTTTTATAAGAGATCTATGGGGCTCTAGCTCCTTCGACTGCCCTATCGGCTACACCTCCCACTCAGATTGAGGAGCTTCCGCAATTGATAGATGAAAGAAACATTATTCAAACGTCCTTTAAAATTTGCAAGAGAAAAAATGATCTGAAATTCATTTTTTGGGGAAAGGGGAGGGTGGCAGACCTCCCACTGCCAAAGGCGGTTAAAAGCCGCTCTTTAGAGGGCATTTATCCAAAGTGGCCAAACTTTCCCAAAATAGTCCTCAGCCGGCCGGGGTGGGGGGGCGGGGGGGTTGAAAACCAAAACAAAACAACAAGCACACAGCACCATACTGACTGTGCCTCCGGATTACGCAGCGGCTTCTCCCTGCAAAGTGCAAGCCACCCTTGCCATGGCCGCACGCCGGGCAGGACCGGAGGCGCCCCACTGCGCACCCCTACACACCTGCCTCGGCCGGGGTCGTCTTCTCGCCTTCTACCTGTTGCAGCGCTTGCCACAGCCACGACACCCCTGCTGCGGAGCCCCCCTACATCCAACCACATCCAGGCCAGCGAGTGCCGCTCTCCCCTGCAGCGGGAGAGCCCGAGGCAGCAGCAGCGCTGGCGCCCAGGTGACTTGCACGGGCTTCCTCTGAGCAGCCTGAAGTTGGCTCTCTTCTCCCGGGCCCAATGACACCCTGGGTGCGCAGGAGCTAAGGGGAGGGGTCAGGGGCAGGGCCAGGGCGGGCAGAAGAGGGAGGGAACCCGCGGGAGGGAGCGGGCGAAAGCCCGGAGGGGGAGTGGACCAGCTGGAAGCGGGTCACATGTCCAGAAAGTTCAGGTCGCTGTCCCGCCCGCCGGAGCCATTCCCATTGGCCAAGGGGGAAACAAGGCTCCACGCTGTGCGGGCCAGGCGTGCTTCTCATTGGGCAATCGGGGCTGTCAGTCACCAGGCGGGCGACATGACTGATACAAAGTTGCTGCGACACAGCCTGGACTCGGCAGCTTCCTTAAAGCTGCAGAGGCAGTAGGTTCTCAGGGTTTGCGGAGGTGGCCACGACCCGGGGCACCCCGGCGCATGATACCCTTTAACCCAAATCTCTCCCTTGCCCCAAACTTGCTCTCACCTACCCAACTGTCCCCCGGGGGGACCACAGGCAATCTGGAGAGAAGGGGAAAGTGTGGTGACGCGGTAGCAGCCTAGATGGTGTGCCCTCGCGCTCTCCACCTGCAGCGCCAGGTGAGCCGCAGGGACTCATACCCGACGCCGCCCACAGCGTCCGCAAGCTCAGGACGACTCAGGTGGGCGTCCCCGGGACCCCTAGCGTTCTGCTCCCCACCCCCTCCAGGTCTGAGTTACCTCCCCGCCGAACAGCCTTAGTCTCCGCGGTCGAGAGCCAGAGGATCACGTTCCCACTAGATTTCAGTTTCCTTGTTTTAACCATGCAGGAAAAGCGGGTGCTTTCGGTGCAGCCAAACCCCTTTAAACACAGCCTTCCTCCCACCCCACCCCCTGCCAAAAAAAGTGCCAGGGTCAAGAGCTAAGGCGCCTGATAATTTTGTTACTGTACTTAGTACTTCAGTGCTGGATTTTTCCACTAGTTCAATATGCAAGAAAGCTTACTATCGAGGATATGCACTTTATAATGTGTGGAAGGGGTGCACATAATTGGGGCAGGCTTATTGGAGGAGGGGAAGACCTAGACTGTTTTCTAAGGATCGTTTGTCTGCGTGAAGAAAAATTGACTTCCCTTCGCCCCCTCCCGATTTTCCTCCCGCCCACCCAAACACTGCACTTGCTTAAGCCGAAGGATGGGCTCCTTAACTTTAATTTCTAAGGACTTCTAGACTAGTGTGAGGCTCGGTTTTGGACTCCCCTGCTGGCTTGGAGTCAGCACCAGTGACGTACACACCTAAATCTGGTCCCCTGGCCTTTGGCGACCCACAGGCCGCCGGCGGCAGCTGTGCAGCTTTGGGCTCACCCTTGCTCCCCGCGAGCTGAAGCCTCGGGAGGAGGAGGGCACCTTGTACCCAAAGGCCCCTCCTTTCTTTACAGTTAGTTAAGCCTCTAGGTCCTGGATCCCAAGCCCAGGGAGACGGGAACTCTCAGCCACTCCCGCAGGACACTCCCCAGAGGCTGGGGGATTGCAGCTGCTCCCGCGAGCTGGTCGGGACTCGGTACTCCGGTGCCCAGCAGTCGCTGGCGCGGAGCTAGCCCTGGAGCCCCTACACGTACGAATCCGCGCCGAGTGTCCCAACTTTCCCCCGAGGTTAGCTGTCACGAGCGTCGGACGAGCAGTCGCAGCATCGATTGCGCCCCGGGCCGCACGCGGGTGGCGAGCTAGAGCTGGGGGAGTTCCAGACCCGGCGGCCCGGGCTCGCCAAGCAGCAGCGGCTGTAGCTCAACCAGGGTGACAGAACTATTCATCATTAAAGAAATGGACGCGTCTCCTTCATACTAAGTTTTTACCTCCTCTAGGGAGGGCTGGTGTTGCCCTGGATCGAAGCTCCTTGCAAAATCTAGGTTAGAACGGCGCGCGGAGCAGCAGCCGCGCTCGCTCGCCCTGCACCCTTGTCCCGCGCCGGCCAAGCGGGTACCTGGACTCCTGCCCGCAGCCCACCTTGCTGCGCCGACCCGCGTCCTCTCCCCTCTGCGCTGGCCTTGCCACCTCGGGGCCACCCCTGTGCTTCCAGGCCCCCTCCCGCCACTGTCGGCGCAAAGTGACAGTCGTTGCACTCACCTTTTCTAGGACATGGTAGGGAGGCTGGGGAGGAGGGGGGGCAGCGAGACTCCCGCCGCCTCCGCCGCTGCTGCAGCCACCAGCAAGTCCAATACCGGCTGATCAGCGATGAGGATGGAGAGGGTAGCAACCCCGGCAGTCGCCCTACTGACGGTGGGTAGAGCAATAGAGCAGCAGTGCAGTTATCCTGCTGGAGGCAGCTAGCTGGCGGCACCAAATCGCGCCGAGGGGGCTGCGAGCACCCGCCGGCCCCCAGCAGTGGCAGCTGGGCCTGGGGCCGGCGGGTCTCCGGGGCTGCTGGTTCGCCCCGCGGTTACTGCGGAGGTTCCCGGAACCCGCCAGTCCCGCGGTAGGATTCCGCGCCCGCAGCGGGGAAGCGCGGATCTCCGCGCCCCCTCCCTGGGCTGGGGTGGCCGGTGACAGCTCTGGCGAGAGAGCGTGGTGTGTGTGTGTGTGTGTGTGTGTGTGTGTGTGTGTGTGTGTGTGTGTGTGTGTGTGTGTGTGTGTGTGTGTGTGTTTGTGGGGGCAGCCGCGGCGCTGAGGGGGGCCCCTCCCCGGGTCACACCCTCACTAGCATTATGTGGCAGTCCAGCGTCCACCCATCCGCTGGTGGGAGACAGGGTGCTGGTGGCGGTCGTTGGAACCCCAGCCACTGACAGCAAGGAGGCCAGGGGAAAACGGAACCCCAGTGCACGCACCCTGTACTCCCTTCCTCGCGGGTCCACAAAAGTCGGCCCTGACCTGGCTCCTGGCCTCAGGTGCAGGTGCCACCGGAAAGGGAGCAGAGGGCTGGAGGACCAAGGGCGGGCCAGGAGGGAAAAGTTTCTTTCCTGCACCTCGGCTGCCCACCCGGTGAGACAGCTCTTGGGTCGCTGCCCCACCCCCACCGTGGGGGGGGCGCCCTGGAGCGCCGGGGTGTCTGCGCACCAGGGCGTGTGGGGAGCGACCGCCCCCGGCCCCGGGCTCTGACAGCGGCCGCCGGGCGCTGCGGGCCTAGG